AATGCTCAACAAATGCAGATTGTGCTAATGGCAATTGTCATACAACACTACACACATGTCAAGGTAACACAGACATTTCCAAACAATTAGTTTCATTCTATGAATATTCATTTATTAACTAAACATATTTATAACGATAAATAGATTGAATAGTTCAACTCTTTATCCTCAGATGTTCTCAGAATATATTTCAGCTTTTCTTTTTACAAAGAGAGAAACGAACAAGATGATGATCATATCATCCAAACAAAAGTATTAATATGGAAATGGGATTTTTCTTGTTACTTTCAATATGCTTTATTTTATTACCGATAGACGAAATAATAATCTATTTACTCAACTAAAATCTTCATTTTTGTTTTAGCTCCATCTTGTAGTGATGGAAATAAGAACCAAGACGAAACAGATATAGATTGTGGTGGTGTGTGTGGTGCTACGTGTGCATTGAATAAAGTATGCGCAAAAAATGGAGATTGCACCAACGGCAATTGTCATACAACACAGAAGAAATGTTTAGGTAAATGAAGATTTTTTTTAGGTAAAATCTAGAAGGTATTAATATTTTATCTGAAAACAAATAGGAAAAGTAAAAGAAAGCATTTAGAACTAGAAATCATCTGACTAAATTAGGTGATTTGGAAGCCTTGATGATCATATTTTTCATCCTTCTTTTAGTTACAGATCGACTGAGTTATTTTTAATAGGTTCGTGTAAATTGTTGTATTTATGTAGAACATTATAAGTTTCTGATTTTGATACAATTTGATAGAACATCAACTAGTCTGTCGAATCATATAGTTTACGGTTTATATTTTTTGGTTCTAATCAAAAAAACGATTTCCTAATAGCACATATTAAATAACAAATGGGGCAAATTTTTATTTTGCATCAATACATTTAATTAAAACAAAATACATAAGATCGTTTCTTTTATATTTTGAGTTGCTAACTTTTGATCATGTGAAAATGGATATCGTACTATTATTTTCATATTTCTTGCACAATTAGGAAAAGTTTCAATGTGTAAATTGTCGAGCTTTTTCACGCTGTATCTTATATATTTTGTGTTCAATTAAACATGTTATATGATGCAAAATTAAAATTTTCTCCACTCGTTTTTTCGATATTCACTATTTGGAAACAACATTTTTGGCTACTCTTTGAGATTCATATATTTTTTTTAGTAAAACCAAAGAGCGTATAATATGAACTACACGGTTCAATAGAGTAGTCGATGCTATATTAAACTGCATCAAAATAAGAAACTTCCCATGTTTTATATAAATACAACTATCTACAAAACTAAGTGATAAAATTTGATTATTCTAACATTCTTCATTTTTATGAAGAGAGCTTTGATTTTGATGAATAAATTATCGTAATATTCATATGTCAGAATGTACACAGACCAATACAGACGGACTGAGCAGAATCATAGACAGGCAGACAGGTACATCAGACCTACTTCTTTTAAGTCTGTTTCATCCTCTTATAGAAACTTTCAATATACTTTAGATGAAACATGCACAATGTAATTATATTACCAGAAAAATTTCTAAACAATATTTTCAAATGTTTTTCTTCATCAAAATTTCCTATTAGACCTATTTAATCACATGAATTAATATACTCAATTGTAAAACATAGTAATTCTATAGATAAAAGCAAATATATTTCTATTGAATATTGTTATTCGACAAACAGTCCTACCAGTACATTCTTTCTAGTCAACTAGGGCAGCACATCGATGAGGTAAAACAATACTTTTTATATTCTCAGACGTTCTACTCATACCGGAAAGTAAAACAAAAGAAACATACCACTATCAAGCTTTCATTATCCACTAAAAGTTTCTATTAAAAAAGATAAAAGGAATAACTTTCAATGGATACGCAATTGTTATAATAAATACACTGGAACTAAGATGTGTGTCCAATACTGAACTTGCATTAAAAAAAATATAAATTTCTTTTCTTTTCTTTAGATCCATCTTGTGGTGATGGAAATGAAAATGAAGGAGAAGGTGATATCGATTGTGGCGGTCCTTGTCCAACCAAATGTGGTCTCACTCAGACATGCTCAACAAATGCAGATTGTGCTAATGGCAATTGTCATACAACACTCAAGACTTGTCAAGGTAACGCAGACATTTTCAGACAATTAGTTTCATTCTACAAATATACATTTTAATGAGTTTATTATCTCTCATTTATTAACAAAACATATTTATAACGATAAATAGATTGAATAGTTCGACTCTTCATCCTAAGATGTTCTCGGAATATAATTCTACTTTTTTTTACAAAGGGATAAACGAACAAGGTGATGATGATCATATCATCCAAACAAAAGTATTAATATAGAAATGAAATGGTTTTTCGTTACTCTCAATATGTTTTATTCCATTCCTCATAGAAGAAATAATAATCTGTTTCCTGAATTAAAATCTTCATTTTTGTTTTAGCTCCATCTTGTAGTGATGGAAATAAGAACCAAGACGAAACAGACATTGATTGTGGTGGGACGTGTGGTGCTACATGTGCATTGAACAAAGTATGTGCAAAAAATGGAGATTGCACCAACGGCAATTGTCATAAAACACAGTTGAAATGTTTAGGTAAATAAAGATTTTTTAAACAATCTTCTTATTCGATAAATATTGAAATGATTCTTAACCATTTGTTAAATTGAAGATATTTGTGACGACAAACATAATGAGTAGTTCAACTATTTCATCAACAATAATATTCATTTAGTTATTTCACTTATGAAAAAGAGTTATTTACAGCGAGTGAGAGAAACATACTGAAGAATAGTAGAACAAAAAGAGAAAGAATATGAAAATAAAGTAGCACTACTAAATAGTCTTATCTTGAATAATTCTATTTGTCGATATTTTCATTTGTTAGTATTTATTTGATAAGGAGCAATGATTTGCTATTTAGATTAAAAAGATGATTTCTTTTTTTTTCTAAGTTGTATTGAAAGAATATGAGTTAATATTTATTTTTTAGCTCCATCATGTAACGATGGATATAAGAATCAAAATGAACCTGACGTTGACTGTGGTGGCGTGTGTGGTGCAACATGTGTTATTCTGCAAGCCTGCTTAGTAAATGGAGATTGTGCCAACAGCAACTGTCACACAACATTAAAGACATGTCAAAGTAAGTCGCGCTGTTTCTATTTTTTCTGAGAATTTTGGCATAGAGATATTATCTTAACATTAGTACTACAAAAAAATGATAATGCTTTAGACATTGGTAGTAAAACGAATGATAATACTGTGCCGTTAATGAGATTAGAGTTCACTAATACCAAGATCTTATTATAATTAATAATAATAGTGACAATTTAATACTAATATCTTGGTATTAATTAACTCTTGTTCCAGCAATGATGAGACCTTAGTATTAATATTAAGATATGGAGATGCTTATGCTAATTATAACATAACACGTCTACTTCACAGCTACGGATCTATGTGTTTTTCTCTTCATCGCTACAATCCTTCATTTCGTTACTGTCTTGATAACTATCGATCAAAGGCATAATTCTTTGCTCAATAAACTCAAATATGAATTTCTATCACATATTTTTTGCGAAAAAAATAAAATGTATCTTTATTTTTTAGCTCCATCTTGTAGTGATGGTAATCAAAACGAAGGAGAAAGTGATATCGATTGTGGTGGTGTGTGCGGTGCTACGTGTGCATTGAACAAAGGATGTACAAATAATGGAGACTGTGCCAACGGCAATTGTCATACAACATTACACACATGTCAAGGTAACACAGACATTTTGCAAAGACTTAGTTTCATTTTAAGATGTTCTCAGAATATAATTCAACTTTGTTTTAACAAAGAGATAAACGAACAAGATGATGATCATATCATCCAAATGAAAGTATTAATATAGAAATGAGATTTTTCTTGGTACTTTCAATATGCTTTATTTTATTACCGATAGACGAAATAATAATCTATTTACTCAACTAAAATCTTCATTTTCTTTTTGCTAAATTGTATTAGAAAAGTCTGCATTAATATTGATTTTTTAGTTCCATCTTGTGGTGATGGAAATAAGAACCAAGACGAAACAGACATTGATTGTGGTGGGACGTGTGGTGCTACATGTGCATTGAACAAAGTATGTGCAAAAAATGGAGATTGCACCAACGGCAATTGTCATAAAACACAGTTGAAATGTTTAGGTAAATAAAGATTTTTTAAACAATCTTCTTATTCGATAAATATTGAAATGATTTTTAACTATTTGTTAAGTTGAAGATATTTGTGACGACAAACAGAATAAATAGTACAACTACTTCCTCAACAATAATATTCATTTAGTTACTTTACTTATAAAAAAGAGTTATTTAGAGAGAGAGAGAAACACAGTGAAGAAACAGTAGAATAAAAAGAGAAAGAATATGAAAATAAAGTGGTACTACTAAATATTCTTAGCTTGAATAATTCTATTTGTCGATATTTTCATTTGTTAGTATTTATTTGATAAGGAGCAATGATTTGCTATTTAGATTAAAAAGATGATTTCTTCTTTTTTCTAAATTGTATTGGAAGAATATGAATTGATATTTATTTTTTAGCTCCATCTTGTGACGATGGGTATAAAAACCAAAATGAACCTGACGTTGACTGTGGTGGTGTGTGTGGTGCAACATGTGTTATTCCGCAAGCTTGCTCAATAAATGGAGATTGTGCCAACAGCAACTGTCACACAACAACGAAGAAATGTGCAAGTAAGATGATTTTCTGCAAATTTCTTTCGTCGGAGGGTGGGTGTGGGTTTTATATCCATCACAGATCCACACCCAAGCCTAGTCTCAAGTAAATATTACTGAGACATTGTTCGATGCATTGTCAATGTGAAAATGACATAGGTATACTCAATACTGTTAGTTTTGTCAATTTCCTTTCGAAAATCAACGAATTTGAGTCAGAGTTTTGATGTATAAACAAAGTATAGTGTACTGAAATCTAGTATAAAAGAAATCATGATTTAGCTTAATAAAAACTTTTTGGTTCTAAGATTTTTTCTTTTTGTTAATATATATTTACATAGGACATAGAAAATCTGTTACTGTTTTGTATCAAACAAAAGAGGAAATAATTTAATTGAGTTAGAAATTTTTGATAAAGCATCAGTGGATTTATGATTTGACGATAAGAGATGCTTCGATAATGATTAAAGATCATCGTATCATAAAATATTTTGTGAAATTCATTGAAATATGATGAGAACATTGTTTAGTCTCATTATTAATGAAAAATGAAAAATTGTTTTTGTAATAGGAAACGTCATTGATAGTGTTTCTTTAAAATTGGCTGGTGTTAGGCCATGACTCGAACTAGATTTAATTGAAAGATAAGGTTGATTCGTCTATTTCTATTTTTATCTTAAGTATACTTGTGATACTTCATTAACTAACTGATAATAGATTGATCAATGGTTTGTTTACTAAGTGAAAATGATAAATTTTTAATATAAGACGTATATTTATAATATAAATTGGTGTTTATTTTTTTAGCGCCATCTTGTTCTGATGGAAACAAGAACCAAGATGAAACCGACATTGATTGTGGTGGCAACACCTGTACCTCCAGATGTAGTAACAATAAAGGTTGTACATCATACTCAGATTGTTCCTCTGTCAATTGTGTTCTAGCAACGCATTTATGTCAAGGTAACTAAAGTTTTTATCTATATCTTTTGATTGTATCAATGTGTAGTTCACTGAAACGATTTTCTATTGTTAAGAGATGGAAAATTCGTGAGATATTTATATTGAATACGTTATGTATCAGTATGAGGTATATGTTTTAAATCCTTGTAACTAAACTATTTATAATGCATCACTTTTTTACCATCTCTTGTGTTATCGATAGAATTGTGGTTAATCCATTTACTGAATTGAAATGTTCATATTTAATATGATTTGTTTTCGAAACTGTTAATTCGTATCTATTTTTTAGCGGCTACTTGTTCTGATGGATATAAGAATCAAGGCGAATCCGATACAGATTGTGGTGGTGGCTGTAACGGATGTGCTTTGAATCAAGCTTGCACTTACAATTCAGATTGTGCTAACGGCAATTGTCACAAATCATTGAACACGTGTCAACGTAAGTTAAGATTGTTTTCTAAATGCCATCTCTATCCAAAGATTTACTTCACCGACACACATTTCTATTGGTGTCTGAGTAAAAGTTGTTAATCAAAAGTTTAAGAAGCATTTTATTCGGTTGGTATTTCTCTTCTGTATGAAATGTAAAAGACATGAGATAGTCATTTGAACAGTACTCCGAACGAACTAGAAGCCAACAATGGAAATATTCTTTCAAAGTCAGTTACTTGACTTTTCGTCATATCAATAATTTTCTTGAATCGAACAAAATTTTGAGATATTTTTCATAATGAAACAATTATCAAGAAGTCTTTCATACAGAATGTTTCAAAAGTTTCTTAAAAAAAAAGAATGTTAGCAGTTTTAGAATAGCTGAAATAGTTTATATGAAATTATTTTTCTTTTGCTCTGTGTTTTGTAAACTTTTATAAGATATAATTTCATCTTCAATAGTACTTTACGTTGATCACTCTCAATTATTTAAGATGTCAACTCATAATTTTTCATATTTTGTAATATGGGTCTAATTCACTTGTTTATATAGATAGTATGAGAGACCAGTTACATGATGTTCTATAGAACGAGACTCAATTTGTTAGGAGAGATTTCTCACAATCTATAAGACTTTCAGTATTTTGCATTTTCTACCTAAGAGATTTAAACTAAACTAAAAAAAACTACTATCAATCATCGATAAAGCATTTTTATCGTTCCATAAAAGATCATGTAGCTGGTCTCTCATACTATTTGTATGATCATTTGAAGCAAATTGTTGTTTGAATTCTTAACTTTTAAGTACACTGTTGGAATAACTCTTAAAACTTAACAAAATAAAAGATTTCTTTTTTTGTAATGAATTTTCCATTAAAAAAGGAAACAATTAAGAAAATTTTATCAGTATACTATCCTATAATTTTAACTTCGGTAAATTCTATAATGTAAATTTAATATTTTGCTTCTAATATATTTTATAGAAGAGATTTTACTTTTTTGAATGAGACCTAACTGTCTTTTCTTGTCACTCACAATAGAACTATTTTAGTATGATAAATTATCTTGTATAAGAGAAAGAACGATGTCATTAGTTGAAAGTTGTTCAGTTGACTTCATAGGATATTAGAAAGAAGACAGATAGATTTCATTGAAAAGGACAAAATACATTAAATTCCAAATAATAAGATGTGACACATCCTTTAAACTTTTATTAATTATAATAAAATATAATTTCTTGAGTAAAGAATCAAATAACTGATTTCAACAGAATATTTATGTTTTTAATTTATAACTTATTGAGACAATTGTTCAGATTCCTATTTTCATATTTTTCATGGATTATGCGGAAAACTACCTCCATAATATAACAATTGCCCTGAACTTTTGATCGTTACTGAATTCGAATATGGTTTGTCTCTTCATTTAATCCTTCAAATCATTCCATTCTTAGTTTAAATCTACCAAAACTAATTTTAATTAAACACCATGCTAATACCAAGGTTATATTTTTCATACGAATTTTGAAACAAAAAAAACGGATTTTTTCCGTAAAAGATCCTTCTTGTAAAGTGTAAAGTTATATCTATTTTTAGCTCCATCGTGTGGTGATGGCAATTTTAACAATGGCGAAATTGATACTGATTGTGGTCATACAGTTTGTTCAAATACATGCGCTAAAGACAACAAATGTCAATCCGACTTAGATTGTGGCACTAATCTATTTTGCAGTACAACGCATAAAATATGTCAATGTAAGTTTCAAAACAAGATTTTTTTGCTCTTTTCTTTCGTACTAGAGACTATAGCAATTGTGATAAAATGCCGGTGAATGCGTGTGAGTGTGGAAAGAATATAATACAAACACCCACACCCTCACGATGCTCTCATTTTTCGGCATGTACTGTACTAGTCAAATAGTGAAATAAGTTCGTCTTTCTTGTACAGTTAATTTCTCTTCGAAAAATTGTCCTTCGACTTCTGATTAGATCAATTTCGGTCCAAACACGATAGATTCAATAGACTTTTTTATAACTTAATTTGGTAGTAGCTCCACGAAGAAAATACTTTCTCAGATTATTTTATTGGCGACCACCACAATCTATGTATTAGGTATTAAGTCTCAAAGAAATTAGTTCATTGGTTAAGTAATGAACTTCAAAACGTTATAACAAGGGACTTTTGTCTGAAATTGATTCAACAAACTGTCTTTCTATATTTGCGTTTCATTTGAAAAATTTAAATAAGTTTTTTTTATTTTTTGATATTTCTAGATGTGTAAAATCAACAACATTTATTTCACTCTACTATACAAGACAATATATAAATATAATATATTTTTATATAAAGTTTATACAGCTTTGGACTTGTTTTAAAACTTTTTTGGTGATCAATAATTTCTTTTTTTCTTTATTTGTTCCTTTAAATTTTCTTTTTTTTCTACTTATTTTATTATTTTTCATAAATGTTCGTTTTGTGTTAAACATGTGCATGTTTTCTTTATCACAATATTGTTAAACATTATTTGTGACTGGACTTCTTTTTATTGATTTTATGGTGATGGGTACTTTCTTTTTAAATAAATCTTATTGATTAATTCAAGCTTTTGTTTTCATAATCATATGTCATTTAGAATACCATAGATTTAAATGAGGGGGTGGGTTGTGGATGCGGGTGAAGTAAAAATGAATTCAACTAACACTTATACCATCCACTCGGTTGACGTGATTTCATTCTTCTTTATCTCTCTTTTTCTTCTGCTTCGCACCTAACCGATAATACTTTCTATTATAAAAAGATCTTCATATATTCTACACGCTCAATTAATTGTATTGACAATCTATTTCCTGTCATATGACTTAATCTTTTGTTGTTTTTTTCCCTCTATCCTGTCTTTCCATTTATTCTCACGTTGAATATTCCAATTTAACTAGCTATTTCAAAAAGACAAATGAATTCATTCACACACATCCACAACCTTCGTGGATACTTGTCTCAATTTCTAACACAACAAAATATTTGCTTTTCTAACAAAAAAAGATCTCGTATCTATATTTATCATACGCAGTTTTAGTTAGCAAGTATGTTAGATGTGTGACTTACAGCTCTTATCTTCGTTTACTTAATACTACAAATATATTTTTTCTTTCACAACTCTCACCTAGAAAAGAAGAGGAGACATCAAACTCGACATGGTGTCGATAATGTTTGTTAGAGCAAGTTTATTGCTCTTGGTTTTATGTGCATTTACTAGTGAGAGAAATTGTTTTATTATATGTATTTAAAATAATTTTCGATTGCTATTCAAGGTCATGGAATTATTCGATTTGCAAACTACTACCAAGATCATATGGTCTTGCAACGTGCTCCGCAGCGTGCTGTCGTTTGGGGCTATGGTGACACGAATGCTGTCACAATATTATCGATAAATAATAAATTCTATCATACAATCAGTGGTCCTGTTGCAGTGAATAAATTGGGTGAAAGCATCTGGTCAACAACACTCGATGCTGAAACTGAAGAAGGTCCTTTTGAAGTAATTGTTACTCAACCAGTAGCAAATGGTTCAGTGGTATTGATTTCACTCAACGACGTACTCTTCGGTGATGTTTGGATTTGTTCAGGTCAATCGAATATGTAAATGGCTATTGTTGATAATTTTAATGCATCAGAGAAAATTGCTCAAGCTGCTAATTATCCCAAGACGCGTTTATTTACTGCTTCTCTTCGATCGTCCCCTACACCAGTCGAAGAACTTCTTCAAATCACACAATCATGGTCCGTAGCAGGTCCAAGCAGTGTTGGTGGTCCATCGTATGATTCATGTTGGCTTGGGTGGTCGACCGATTGGACTCATCGCAACATCTTGGAGAGGTACAATCATTGAAGTGTGGATGCCACCACAAGCTTTAATAGGTTGTGGTATTTCAACGTGAGTATTGCAAGATAATTTTCAATTGAATTTAATTTCATTTATAATAGGAAGGAAAAAGTGGCCATAGAACCATATGGTCAACCACAATTTGGTATCAAGGTGAATCGAATGCTGGTCACAATCGAGACAAGTATGTGTGCACATTCTCGAAAATGATTCAATCTTGGCGACAAATATGGAATACACGTACGGGAGGTATTTCGTCGCTTACTTTTCCATTTGGTTTTGTCCAAGTAAGAAAACGTTCTTTTATTTTAAATAGAGAAAAAGAATACTATTTGTAGTTATCGACAAGTGATACTAGTGGTACCGTTATCGGAGGCTTCCCTTGGATACGTTGGCTATGTGCCTAATAATGTGGTACCTAATGTATTCATGGCAGCGGCAATGGATTTACGTGACGATCCTGGAGGGTATGTTTGAATATATTCTCCTGAAAAAATATTAAAATTTAATTTTAAAAAGTATCCACCCTCGCCCCAAATCTGACGTTGGCTATCGACTGTCACATCGATTGTGGTAGTGCAACAATTGACGTAACCTATACGTCGGTAACTGGTATCGAATTACGTAATCCTAATGGGTTCGAGGTAATTACAAAAACTGATTTACCATTGCTTCTAATAACTAGTATGTTTATACGTAGGTTTGCTGCTTAGGCGCTCAATGCACAAACGACAATATATGGATAGCTGCTCCAGCTTCGTTGAAAACCCCTCTGAGTATCACAACAAATCTATGGTATTCGCTATCTCTGGCATGAAACTCCATGTCAATTCAAACAAGCAGCCGTATACAGTGCGACCGATGCTAATCTACCAACTCCACTTTACATAAAAAAAATTTAAACTAAACAATTCTATATATTGATTTTTATAATAACAAAAAATGACATATTACGCGTGTTCATCGATCATTTCTAAAACAAATATTTTCCTACACTAATTCGATTGTTCATAGCTAAAAAACAGATAAAATCAAGTTATTTCAGTTATTATTTTTTAATTTATTTTTCAACATTATATTACAAACAATCTGCACGGTTTAGTCACAAATTGATTATTAACTTTGCACTAGATTCTCGTTCTGATCATTATCGACTTATGAAAATAATGTGCCTAAGTTTTGGTGCGAGATGATCGAAAGTAGAGTAAATTCATAGCCTATCTTGAGTAAATATGTATAAAAACGTTTTCTCTAATCAATCTTTTATATTAAATTTCAATCATTGTCGTGTTTATCTTCATTGTTATAGATGTATAGAAAAGTTTTCTGAATAAATAAAAATAAAAAGCAAAATAATATGAATTCATAATCAGGAATTATTCAAGAGATAATCTGTATATTCTAATCAATGATAATATTTTAGAAGAAAATTTATCGAGAAAGAAATTTTGTTAAAATCAAAATGATGTTGTAGAAATAAATTAAGATTTTTTTTCGTAAGGTGTAAAAAATGTATCTTGTTGTTTTTCTTTCGTAAACGTTGATGTTATATTTAATGTTGTTATACCTTGTTTTGTAATAATTAATGATGTTACAATTGATTAAAATGCTAATAAAGATTTATTTATATTTAAATTTGTTAATAATGATGATACAGTACGTATATGAATTTTTTTTCTGTATGATTTGTATATAGGATGTAATTGAATATGAGATTTTAATGATGGAAGATATATTCATCAAAGATGACAATGCTTTCTTTAGCTCACTATATTGACAACTTATCTCCACCGTTGTTATTGCTTAAAAATATTTGCGACAAAATTTTCAAAACTCTGTTTAACTTGAGTTCATTTGGCGTACTCTACCGCCCTCTATATCCCGTATGGAAAATTGGCTTTTCTAACTTGATATATATTTTAGCCATTCGGTTCGCTATCATCGTCGTTTGATTAAACTCAAAATATAGCCATCGCTTTATTTTTTACATCAATTAGACAACAATCTTTCAATTGTTGTTTTTTCTCAGGTATGAAGTACTTATATAAAATTCGTCATAAGTTTTCTTTATTTTAATTTATTTAAGAATATTTTAACGTATATATTTTTCTATTGTTAATGAAAATCATTGAAATTCTCAAATACTTCTTCAATACGTAGTTGTAGAGGAAAATACATGACGTCATTTACTGTTGTTTTTTAAGTTAGATGATTTCATGTGAAGTTATAGACTCTAATTATTCTTCTCGCTTCGATAGATTTCGGCAAAATTTAAACTAAGTTTTAATATATTGTAACAATGACATAATTTTTTAAAAAATTCAAAAGATATGATTTAGTTGCTGTTGTAGTTATAAAGTTCGGAAGCTGTATTTAATAAAATTTTATTGTAACATAAATATTTATGCGCCGAAAAGAAAAAAAAATAACCGATGCATTTGAAAGATTTCTATATTGTTTATTTAAGTAAATTAATTAATAATTGTAGTATATTAATGAAAAATCAGATATATTATCATTGTAATGATTAGCTTTTCCATTATTCTATATGATAGTAAATATTCAAAAAAAAAGTAATATGATTATAGATTTGATGATTTTCCTTTTTAGTCCATATAGTAACTGTAACGGAAAAGAGAGATATAATATGCTTCTGATCGATGTATATAAGTTAATAAAGGAGAAATGGTGTGAATTATTCGAATAACACTGGAATATAATGATGATAACGTTACACTTCGTATTTCTATGATACGTGTTATTATAAGAGACTAGAGAAAGAAAATATATCGAGAGGAAAGAAAGAAGAAGCAGGAAGTAGGGGAGAAAAAGATCGCGTATTAGTAAAATAGACAAAAGAGGTGTCATTTAAAAGGATGTCCACCACTTCTCGAGGTACGGTAACATTACCTTACTCCTTTATCCACTATTACAACACCTTCGATATTTATAATGTATAGAAAAGATCTTATTAGATATTTTTATGATTAACTTTGTTCACAAAAAATTCTTTTGTTTCATTATGAATCTGAACATTGCGATACATATTTGAATAAATTCTCCACAAAAGGCTTTTTGTAAATGATTAATGAGTTTATATTCTCTGCATCCTTTACTACTGTTATGTGTTTTTAGAGATGCTCTGAAAAAATGGTTGATTGGAATAAAATACGCCATGTATTTGCTATTATTGTCACCTATTTTTGTACTGCTGCATGGATAGTTACTGCTTGGAGAGAGTTTTTCAAACTAAATAGATATGTCAGCCGTCAGTGTCAAGTCAATTCTGTTAACATCGAGTGGCGTGGAAAGAAATATCAAGGTGTGTGGGATGTCGTTGTGCTGGACGAAGATGAAAGAAGCTATGTTTTAGTGAGAGAAGGTTTATCAAAAGGTCTTAAGGAACAAGCATGGGATGAAGCACAGAAATATCAGGTACAATCCTACTTTTCTTCTTTATTTAATGCACAGAGCACTACAAAAGTTTTTTCGTCTGATTCTTGTAAAAGTGATAATTTGAGAACATCTATTATACTATAATGTCTAAACATATTTAGAATTATGTGTAATATTTCAGACTCCCACATATTACCTATCAGATCATTTGCGATATGAGTTTTTAACTTCCACGTAAACAATTTCGCATTATGATTTTATATGACTGAAAGATTGGTTTCATGAATTCCAGCGAAATAATATAAATGTTGAAGATATTGTCAGTTCAAGTCGTCCTCGAACATCTGTCAACTGATTCCCATGCAACCAAACTTCATCGAAATAAAAGTTCTAACAAAAGAATAGTGGCTATTTTCTTTATATTCTGCTCATCATAATTTCTGCGATTTCTGTTTATTCCCAAAACTCAAAAATCAATTACGTGGGATTCCGAAAAATAATCGAAAGCGCAAATACATTGATGTTGAAAGACAATATTTTAAAAAAATACACTACAATCAGTCTTTGAGTATTTATTCTAAGAGCTGATGAAAAAACTTTTGTAGTGTCCTATGTATTAATTAAATCATTCTATGAAATTTTTGATGATTGTATCTAGATCAATCAAACATATATATGTTATGGTCCTCCTCTTAATCAAAGATCAGCTGGACTTTGGGATTGGCATTGGAACAAAACATCCAAGTTTAAATTTTGTGTTCTTGCATTGGCTGCAATGATATTTTTTATTGCGGGTACGCTACTGTTGAGAGGAGCAATACCTTGGATAATACCCTGCAAAACTAATCGAAAAGAACAGCATCAACAGGAATTACAGAGACCGATAAGAAACGACGAGCAACAAGAGTGAGTATGGGTGATGAACAAACATAATAAACACACTTGTATATTACATTTTCAAGATTTTGTTGTAAAATGCATTTATTTATTCATATCACTATTTATATCGTATGTGCGTTATTTTATTGTGCATTTAAAATTACTTTTTGTGTCAAAGATTCTAACCATTTTGAGAGAGTTGGAGGCATGCTGCTCAAAAATAAATAAAACTAGTGTATTCTCAAGACGATAGTACATTGTTTCAGGGTTGTGTTAGTCATCGATCATGGCTCGTCTCGTTTTAATTCTTATCGAAATCATGTTTAAGTTGTATGTGTTTGTAGATGGTGTAATTCTTTTCTTTTCTTCATTACGTTACAACATACAGTATTGATATTATGAAATTACAAAAATACAGAAAACATCACACTTCTTTATTATATGACTTTAGATAATGTTTAAGAAACAAGTTATCCTTTAAAAATAAAAATGAACAATGAAAAAAAGTATTCGTGTCTATTGAGATATGCAATAGTATTATATACACAATCGAAAGAACATAATCCATCTTTCAAAAATGGATTTTATTTTTTTATTACTTTGGCAAATTAGTCAATGGACATTTAAATATAAAATCTTTTGGAAATAATTCAGCAGCTTTTGGTAATAATTTTTTATATACTTGTCGAATTGTATTTTCTGCTGCACCAGTTGCAGTTGCTATATCTTTCAATGGCTGCCGGTCATCAGCAGCAGCACAAGCCATATAAATCGATGCACTTGCAATTGATTCTGGTGCACGACTCTGTATATCACAAAATTCTTTTGCTTGTTGAGCAATATGAATAGCTGTTTTTTTAATAAGAATTTCTTCGTTAAGTTGAAGTTGACTACAAAAACGAGGTATCAAATTCTTAGTATCCATGGATTCAGGT